CTCCATTTGTAAAGGAATTACTATTAAGGTCCTAGTATAGTTTTAGAATATTTTTCATGTCTTTAAATCCAGACACAGTACATACAAGGGGAAATTTGCAACCCCTGCCCCAAAGTAACATTACCCCATAGACAAAATTATATAAAACCTCACATCCTTAGAAGGTACATATTGTTACATCCTTACATTTTTAATCAAAACGTTAATGTTCCTATTTCAAATAACAACTCAATCAGTAACAATGCATAAGGCAGTCCGCTATTGTAATACAGTATTCAAAGGAAACTTATATCCAACTTCTTCAAAGTGCAAAAAGTTGTTTACAACGTGATGGTATGGCAGGGTACAGACTATGTACAGCTTGGGTAAATTAGAGATACAGTCTTGGGTTACTTTATAAGCTTGAACAAGTTTAAAGCCCATATCTCTCTTGAAGGCTCTTCTGTGTCCATGGTCCTTGAGTCAGCAGTCCCCAACCCTGGGATCACTGATCATTCTCAGAACCATTCTGTCTTGTAGCCTTAAAGAACAGAGTCCTTTTCCTAGGGTGGCCCAGAACTAGTCTTTGGTTTCAGGTCAAAATTGTCCTCTAGATAGGCACTTAAATCCCAAATCATTCTGCTTGTGTGACCTCTGTCTATAGAGATTTTCTGAACTATACTTTCTGTGTGAACACAAAAATAGCTTCCAATTCTCTAAAAGATAAGAGATATTACTATATTTTGCTTCACTTCTTCTGTTCCTGATGCTATATTTTAGAACACAATTTTCCCCACTCCTCTTTCTTTTTCCTTCTTGAGCTCAGAAGTCCTAATTCTGAGTCTTTGAGTCCTCAGAGATGTCCAAGCTCTTTCACAAATCTTGAGTGTCCCAGAGTTTCCAAATCTCCATTAGAGACCAACATACCTCCTCTCAGAAGGTAGTAAGTAGAGTACACTTAGGACATTAAAGAAACATTTCCATTGTGGTCTTACGACCTGCCCTGGGATATAGAACAGAAATACTGTTTTTTCCCTTAAAACCTTCTAAACCTCATATTCAGCAGTGGGGGTGGGGGCAAGAAGCAGAGAAAAATAAGAGGAGAACAGATACTACTTGGAAAAACTTTATGTGAGCTTTTATAATAACACAGTGTTTCAACTGAGTAAACTGAAACTCAGTTGAGTAAAATTTTGTGTTTTTAAATATTTCTTTGCAAAAGAAATCTTATATCTGGGTCACTGTGATTATGGGCCTGGCAAAATATTAAGTGATTCATTTAAAAGGTGATAAACTTTGGCTACACAGTGGCTCATACCTGTAATCCTAGCACTTTGGGAGCCTGAGCCCAGGAGATTGAGGTTGCAGTGAGCTATGATGAAGCCACTGCACTTTAGCCTAAGTTACAGAGTAAGACCCTGTCTCAAACAAACAAACAAACAAACAAACAAACAAAACCAAAGCAAAACCAAAAACCCCAAAAAGTGATAAATTTTGTCACTAACAAAATCAGAAGCTGTGTCAGGAACATCTCAGTATAGTTAACAAAGCATAAGATTAGCTGGTTTACCTGTGCCAAGTCTTTTTTGGGAAGATGACTTTAGGAATCTAAAGACTGTTTGGTTTATCAGTATCTTTTTTTTTTTTTTTTTTTTTTTTCTGGTGGTGGAGGAGGCAGATAATGGGAGAGACATTTCTATTTGGTTCTCTCTCAGTAGGAACTTAGATTTGCAACACTTCAAATTGTGATAGAAAACACTTGGAGAGCTGGTGGCACACACCTGTGAACCAAGCTACTTGGGAGGCTGAGGCAGGAGGATCGCTTGAGCCCAGGAGTTTGAGGCCAGCCTGGGGAGCACAGTGAGATCTTATCTCTAAACAAAAAAAAAGAAAATTAAAAAAAAAAACCCTAACAGTTGGAGAGCCAGTTCTCTTCTTTTTCCACTCTCACCCCAATTCTGTCACCTTGGCTGTGAGTGAACTTTTCATGAGTTTGGTTGTTCCTCAGATGGTGGCCTCCTGGGTGTGAGGCGGAAGGCCTGCCTCATGACAGAGTTGGTGGGAAACAGAGAGAGCCCTGCAGAGCCCATGTTCAGAGGGAGTGTGCAGGAGAAAGTCAATGTACTGCCTGGAGCTGCTACAGGACTTCACTGCCCAGCGTGGCAGGTGCGAATCCTGACTCAGCCCTTTTTGTTAGGCATCTTGGTGACATTCTCCTCACCTTCACCCCCAGCCCTAGCAATGGGGGGGGCAGTTAATCAGCATAGCATAGAGAATATGTATGGTAACCACGTATGGTGGTAACCACGCATACCTGGTTCAACTTCAAGACTTAAGATTGTATAAATTCTTATAATTCATATAAATTTTCTCTGGAGTCAATGGGCCCCAAGGTAGGCTTAGAATGCTACAAAGAAAGTGCAGCCTTTGTGAGTGGACACCCACTAGAAAAATAACCTCAGAAGAATGGAGATCATTCAGTAGATCCATTAGTCACAGGAAAAAGGAGGATCGTATCTATGAGAAGAGTCCCCAGGTTGGTGGAATGGGTCTTCGTTTCACCATTTTGAGAAGCAAAAGTGGGTCCCTTCAGCATAGACTTTAACACTAACCTGGTGGAAATGCTCTCTTTCTCTAGCTTTCTCTCCTACTCATCCCTGCTTCCAAATTCTCTTTCTCTTGTCCCTCAAACAGTCAACAGGATGTGTGATATTTCAAGAGTATAATGAGCAACTCCTCTTTCACAATGGGCATAAGCAGCCTGGCATAGCTTGGAGTCTAGGATTACGGAAACACAGTGACATACCGAAGACTGCACACCAAAATATATCTAGTCCTTCAGCTGAAATCTCAAACACGTTGGGACTGTTGCCATGGAATTTCATAAAACCTTTTTTCCCTGAGACAGACGCCATGCTACAAAGTAGGAGAAGCCATTTGTGCAGTCTGAGGTGGGACATTTTAATCACTGGCAGCACACGAACGAGTTGAGTTGGAGCCGAATGCATAAGCCCTTTGGAAAGAAAACACTGATCTACTAGGAATTTGGGGTTCTTGGCTCTGGTAGAGATGTTCCCAAAGCTGGCTCTTAATTTGTAAATAGGCTCATGAAGTTGTCTGTGGAAGCAGAATTTATTTTCCCTAACACAAGTTCTTAAAAAGAAAAAAAAAAAAAGGCTTTGACTGCAGGTGCCAATTTGTATGTACACTTTGGGGCAAGATCAAAATACCTTCCTGCATTTGTTTCTCTCCACCATCTTCTTCACGTTCACAACTCAGTGGTTAAAGGAAAGGCTGAACGCCCTACCATTTTCACACCAAAGAAATGTGAAACATGTATTCACATATATGCTCCTCTGCTTAATAGCCAGACATTAAGAGGTTTGAAAAATAACTTGTGGTTACTGCATAATCATGTAAAAATGTAAAGCTGGAAAGGACCTTAGAGAATGTCTCAATCCAGTTCTTAGTTTACGGGTGAGGAAACTGAGTTTTAAGAGTTAAATGATTTGCTCAAAGTCACACAGCTAATGAGTGGCGAATACAGAATCAGCAAACAGATTTTGTGACCCCTATTCCAGTGCTAATTTTGCAATGATCATAGCATTGCTCCTTGATAGTGTGTCCCCATTATTAGTGACAAAGATGACTAATAATAGATCTGTGGAATGCAGATCAGAGTTTTGGGAATTTTTGTGGAAAAAAGCAGCTCCATTTAAATGGGGGGAGGGAGGGGAGAGCCCAAATCTTCCTGATCCAGGAGAACCTGTCAGCAGAGGTTTCCTCTTCCTCACCCTATCCCGAAGCTCAGCTCTGATCTAAACAACGCACACAGCATCTCTCCCGGATTCCTCTCCCATGGGGAAGGGGAGGCTAAGCCATACTTTCTGGATGCTTCCATATGTTTTGTGGAAAAAATCATTCGTACGTTTGCTTTGGGTCCTTACCACTAATGCTTCATGGAGACCGAGAATGTTAGGTGGCTGTAGTTTTTTGTTTTTTTTTTTTCCTGTTGGTGCTGCCAAATCATTTCCCTCCTCAGACCCCCAGTTAGCCAATCTTGATCAAAGGAAAGGGATGCCTCAGTGGACAACTGCCTGGACTTTCAGTGATGGCCTGTGTTTAAAACCATCAATATAAGGCCGGGCGCTGTGGCTCACGTCTGTAATCCTAGCTCTTGGGAGGCCGAGGCGGGCGGATTGCTCAAGGTCAGGAGTTCAAAACCAGCCTGAGCAAGAGCGAGACCCCGTCTCTACTATAAATAGAAAGAAATTAATTGGCCAACTGATATATATATAAAAAATTAGCCGGGCATGGTGGCGCATGCCTGTAGTCCCAGCTACTCGGGAGGCTGAGGCAGAAGGATCGCTCAAGCCCAGGAGTTTGAGGTTGCTGTGAGCTAGGCTGACGCCACGGCACTCACTCTAGCCTGGACAACAAAGCGAGACTCTGTCTCAAAAAAAAAAAAAAAAACCATCAATATAGAATTTCGCCTACAGACAACTGGTTCAGCCCAAAGCAGCTCAGTTTTTCCCTTGAGATGGGAAGGTGCAGGGTAGGAGCAGAAGTGTCATCAGACACTTATTACTATTACTATAATATTATTTGATAGGTAATGGAGTTGATGCTTGGAGAATGGGGTCTTCAGTTACTGGTAACAGATGCTTATTTTATGGCTGTTCTTTTTCTTGCTCTTAGATTACCATTTGGGTTGGAGAGATTACATCCTAACCCTTCTGCTTGTGTGAAGTGTAGATGGGCAAGGCTTCCCAGCAAGGTCAGGTGGTCAGCTCTCCCTCTTTGTGGATTTGGGCACATGAGCAAGAAGCTTCTCCACATACAGCTGATGCAGCTCAGAAAGAACTTCTCATGCAGCACTCCGCGGGACCGTTCCGACTGGCAACCAACGTCAACAGATGCCCGTTCTATTGCTGCAAAAGATAATGACTAATACTTCTTTAACTTTTAAACTCCATAAAATTCAAGTCCCCAATGAGAAAACAAAGGTTTTGCAAAAGTAATAACATGATAGACCTGCATATAATTTCTGAATGAAGACAGTGTTTCTCTGGCTACCCGTGTAAACACCACCCTAAAGGGTCTGAAAAGGAGCTTGGAACTGAGCATGTTTTGAGAGCAATCTGTTAGGTGGGGTTACTGGTTTTAAAAAATGATGTTGAACACTCTGGGACAATCTTTGGGACGAGATATTCACTTCAGCATGGCTCTGTGTTCTCCTCTGGCTATGTGAGATGAGAACTCATATCGATCATGGCTCCGATATCCACACATGTTGCACTCAAAGGGGTCACGGAAGCCGTGGCAGCCCATGTGAATGGTGAACATCACATAATCCAGGAAGAGGACGCGACAGTGGTCACACCGATACACATCCATCACCTCCCCCTCTTTGTTGATCACTTTGATGGAGTCTCTTGGGCAGATGGGTGGGGGCTTGAGGAGTTCATAAGAGCGGGGGACCTCCTTCAGAAGTGGCATCCCGTTGCGGGCCCGGGGAAGGGCCAGGTGATTTTGCGGATAGATGTGATTCTGGCGTTCTTCATGGTTGCTGTCAGTGTCCGTGGAGTCGTGGCCACTGTTGTTGGGGGACAGGCCTCTGTCGGAAGGCACGCTCTTCTCTGCAAGGTGGACACTCTTCTTCTCCATCTCCTGAGGGGCACCATTGGGCATCTCGGCCCGGGTGAGGGCTATGGGATACATGCTGCTGATCACTGGGACCATCTCGGAGGTGGGGGCAGGCGGCGTCTGGACCAAGGGGCGCAGGGCTTCGGCGCCCAGATAGCTGATGGCATTATTGATGGCTTGGTCCATCATTCGGGTCTGTATCATCTCACTCTCTTTCTCGTACATATAGCTGGAATTATAGTTGACATCGAAGCAGTGGCGCTTCTCACCTGGAACAGGTGAAAGAAAGGGTTATCAAGGAAACAACACAAAAGCAGAGAGATTATAAAATTATTTTCCAGAGACCTCAAAAAAGGGAGGAAGCCCAGGCAGAAGGGTCCTATAGGAGGCTGAAGTCTCAGGAGACACTGGTCGGGAACAGCATGTTTGGACAGTCCAAACAAAGCCAGCAGGCAGAAGGGAGGGGCAGAGATGTGGTTAGTTGAGGCCAGGTTGTGAGGTACGCCCATTACAGATGTCAGAGGGGAGCCTGAGAGAGAGGAGGAGGAAAAGAAGCAAGAGAACACCAGCACGGGACATAGAGGGACAAGGCAGCTGCCACCATGCAGGAGCACGGGGCCTCTGCACTTCTGTTGTCTGTGAACTCTTAAGACACAGTCGACTCCCAGGCTCTTATTATGCTTATTGTTTTCTGCTTGTAACATCTGGTAGCCAGGGGGCTGGAAGTGCTGGAAAGGGTGGGGATGTTCAGCCACTGGCCTTGGTAGCTTTTTCAGTAGCTACAGAAGTAGAGAAAATAGCCCCCAAGACATCAGCTTGCCACTCCCCAAACTCACCAGTCACTTGGCTGCCTGAGACTTAAGAGAGCTCCAAACGTAGACAGTTATAGAAAAGCTTTCCTGAGGAGAGATCATGATCTCTGTTCCTTTCCCAGAGTGTTACTCTTCTTTTGCTTGACAAATGTATCCTGAATATACATCTGCTGTAATCATTAGGACCTATCTCGCCCTCAACTGAAAAAATTAATCTGTGGTCACCGTCTCCTATTTTTCATGTCGAACTGCTGAGAAATCCTGAAAACAGAGTTTAGCCACCTTCAGGGTGTGTGGGTGTTGTGTGTTAGAAAACGGAGGCTCAATGGCCGGGAGGAAGGCAGGGACAGGGCCTGCAGTGCTGGCAGATGTGCTCCGTGGCGAGCAGCGGGGACAGGGAGGAGAAGGCGTGGCAGAGGAGTCCTGTCTGGAAGTGAGGCTGAAGTTATTGCTTTTCCATTGTCTGATCTTGGATTCTAGAGAGACCTGTTGAACCCCATATCTTTTTTTCCTGTAACATTTCCTAGCCATGTTGTGGTCCCAAAATTTGTCTGCCATATAGTAAAGGGTTCAGAAATAAAAAAAAAAAAAGAAAAAAAAAACTCGCAAGAAAACAAAAGGATTGGAAAAACCAGTTTCTATTTTGAGCTGTAGGCAAGAAATAAGCCATATATATATATATATATATATATATACACAACTGGAGAAAAAGTATAGGTTCAAAATTGTAAGTGGGCTGCTTTTCTTAATGGAGGCCTTTGCGTTTATCCTAAGTGCCACATTTGAAATATTTAGGCAGGGGAATAACATGTCTTCTGTTAAAAGAATAATAAGGCAATACACAGGCAAGGGCAAGATAATTTGGTGTAAATTGAGCATGAATGAGGCAGAAAAGTGGGAATACACAGGACATGCATGGGGACAAGTGAGAGAATCTGGTTAAAGCTATATCAAGACGTGTGGAATAAAGTATTTCTCAAACTTCATTATTCCTTCACATTCTGCAATATCCACGCACCAGGGCAGTGCGGGTGAGAGAACAAGCGCTAGAGCCTGATGGGCGGGTCTGCTGCTGGCTCCCTAGGTCACTAGTTCTGTGACCCTGAGCAAGTTACTTAACCTGTCTGTGCTCTGTGTCCTGTACGACGGAGATAATAATCCTACGGTCACCGGCATGTGCCTAGAACAGGGCCTGGCCATCGAAAACACTTGGTAAATGCTAGGGGTGTTTTCTTTGTTTGATTCAGCTCACGTTTTCTTTCCTTTTTTTCTAAAATAAATATGTTTTTTAAGGAAACTTTATATCACGAACATAAACGGAAAACCAGAATCACTTACCGCAAATAGAAGGTAACTATGAAAAATAAAGACAATGAAACAGAGTGACTTATTAAATTTCGATCAGCTATGACTGAGTACTTGGAGACTAAGATCCCCTCTCTCTTTGTTAAAAAGAGAGATTCCCAACTGTGAGTGTTGAAGACAACTAGCATCAAATTAAGTCCAAATCTTTCTCCTTAGTGTAATCGGGGGACTAAAAGAGAACTGAAAAGAAAATAATTTTCTTGCCATGTGGATTGGGTTTTTTTTGGTGGGGGGAGTCAAGAACTGTTTTTAGAGGTGGGGGTCTCACTCTGTTACCTAGGCTAGACTCGAACCCCCATGCTCAAGTGATCCTGCCGCCTCAGCCTCCTAAGCAGCTGGGACTACAGGTGGGTACCACCAACGCCTGGCTAGGATCAAGAATTTTAAATTCCCTGTGTGCCTCCTGGTGGTCTGCATCCCACATTTTGGGAAACACTGAAAAAAGATAACACACAGCAGGATCAGATGGTGGGCACTCGGAATGACCAAGTACAGGGTTTGGACCTGAAAGAAGAGCAAATAGCTACATGCCTTTGAGGAAGAGAGGCTCGCATTCAGTGTAACGGTGACGTGCACCATGGACCACAACAGTGATAAACTGGAGCCAGGAAATCCGGCAAAAAGATGTGTTCCAATCAGATGGATTTGTCCTGTATCCCCACTACCTTAAGGTCAACCTGAAAGTTTCTAGACAAATACCTGAGAGAAAAAAACATGCAAAGAAAAACATCTTGCCTTGGCCGCTCAATAAGAAGCAATAGGAAAGTTGGCCTTTGCCAAAGTAATCAATGGCTTTTATCTTCAACGTCCAGACTGGATATATCTTTTGTCAAGGCCATCGGGAAGAATGACGCTGAGAACATGAAAGCCAACTAAGGTCATAAACATTCATTCCCCCAGAAAGTGACACAGAAATGGTGAACTTTGGTTTCCTGGCCTTTTCAAGGTTAATGATGATTTTCCAGTGTGGCCAGCTCTACTCAACCCCCTCTATACCCAGGGTTGTTGAGAACCTTTTTACCTTTGCACCTAACACAGAGGTTCCAGAAAGTTTCCAGGTGGGATAGATACATCACAAACTCTGCTTTTATCCTTTCTTCCAAGAGTTTGCTTTGCTTGGCTAGGCCTACAAATGCAGGCCCTATACCACCTGCAGCCTATGTCAGAAAACAGCTGAGTGCTAAAAGTTGTAAGAGACAAAACATTAAGAGGAAAATAAAGCCCTGGATGAGTGGAAATAGGTGACTGAGTTCTGTGGTTAACACAGACCATTGTTCATTGTTAAGAGGATGATCTTCACGTGCTTGCAACTTGCAATCATCAGAACCCCTCATCTCCGAGTTACGGTAACTTGAGCAGCGCAGATGATTATCAGTCACCTGTAGACACGATGACTCAATGTGTATGAAACTCAGAAGGGGTAAGCTACAGTAATTGAAAAGCCAACAGCTCACGTTTCTTTAGTAACACACTCATAAAAAAGGTTGGTCAAACCACAAGAATGTAACTGCTTCCAAACCTGCACAGAGCATCTGGTCCAGCTTCTAGTCAAAATCACACCACACCTTTGAATGATTCATGATACCAGCTTCAGGGCTGAATTAGAGAATTTCTTCCAATGAAAACACGAATGGCAACAACAAGTCCTAAGTTCAGGAACCAAGGCTGCCTGGATGGGTCATTCCCTACCTGGGATTCTTTCTAAAGGTAGACACCAAATCTCTAATATCTAGGCTTTGGTAACTGTAAACTGAGCAACTGCCTGCCTTGGATTGATGCCATGTGGTAAGGGCATATGGTTGTTGGCTTCTAACTGCCAAAGTGGAAGCAAAGAATCACAGACTAGAGCTAAAAGGGCCCTTCACCGAGCACAGGGACTCAGACCTCTGTCTTCAGGGTCAAGGATTAAGATCCACCACCCTAATCTGTTTTTTTCTAGTCTTTAGACTTCACAGTGCCTAGCACTGTGCCTTATACCTAAATAATACTAATAACAATAGCTACTATTTATTGAGCACCTGCTGTATACACAGCACCATCCTAATACTTTGCATCTCATCTCATTTTATTAGCTCCTTAGGGGCTGATACTTTTTGAGGTAGGAATTACCCTCTCTTTAGTCAAGGCTAAAGCACAAACAAGCTGATTGCACTTTCCAAGGTTGCCCAGGTGGTGAATGGAGAACCAGAAAGCAACCCAGGAGCCCACATATCTCAATACATGCTCGAGCGTTTAACTGCTGTTTCCTGGCTGCTCCCTTGCCTGAGGCTGCACACCCGGCCACCAGCAGTGACTTCAGATTCTGTGCTGGGGTGGTTCCCATACGCAGTGCAAAAGGGGGCTTAGTGGCAGCAACCAGACCAGCACATGCATTCAAGAAGTATAGGATGCACAGAGTTGTTGTGATGTCTATAAGGTGCTTAACAGCATGCCGGGCATATGTAAGTATCCAAAAAGTGGTAGATCCATTATTAATATTATTATTATTTGCTTAGCACCATGTTAGGTGCTTTGAGGAATACAAACATAATTGTAATCCAACAGAGATGCAGCATTTACACCATTTCATTACAAATCATTATCTTTTTTTTTTTTTTGAGACAGAGTCTCCCTTTGTTGCCCAGGCTAGAGTGAGTGCCGTGGCGTCAGCCTAGCTCACAGCAACCTCAATCTTTTGGGCTCAAGCAATCCTACTCTCTCAGCCTCCCGAGTAGCTGGGACTACAGGCATGCGCCACCATGCCCGGCTAATTTTTTCTATATATATATTAGTTGGCCAATTAATTTCTCTCTATTTATAGTAGAGATGGGGTCTCGCTCTTGCTCAGGCCGGTTTCGAACTCCTGACCTCAAGTGATCCACCCGCCTCAGCCTCCCAGAGAGCTGGGATTACAGGCGTGAGCCACTGTGCCCGGCCACAAATCAGTATCTTAATGCTATGTGGCAGAACAAAGTATAGGGTAGCCAAAGAGTAGGAGAGAAAATCCTGGACCTCTTCTCACATATGCCACACATAACACAGGGCAAATATTAATCTATGCTTTTCTTTAAAGTTGCCTTGTAACCAGAGGTGGTGGTAATGATGGTGGTAGA